GGTGACATGGAAACTCAGTGTCATTTTAATTTGCATTTCTCAAATGGCCAATGTTGTTGAACATTTTTTCATATATTTATTTGCCATTTGTATTTCTTTTTCTGAGAAGTATGTTTCATCTCAGATTGGGTCTTTCAATTTGGGGGGCCTGATACTTAATATGTAAAAACTGACAAGTCAGAATTCAAAGTTTCCCAGGCACCTTGCCCTAAACTTTCCCTCTTGGTTTCCCAGGCAACCTGCCCGCACACTCTCTCCCCCTTGGCCCCACACAGAGTCAAACCCAAAACCGCAGAACAGGTCCACCTGACTTTGACCTGGGCAAGCAACCACAGAAACTCTCCTTTGTTAACATTAAAGGTTCCCCACAGACCAGGTAGCCCTTCCAAGATTAGCTCTCCCTCAGCTGTTCCAGCCCACAATCACCCTCCCTAAAAGTCCTATAAAGTCTCCTGTCCCCCCTTTATTCACTGCTGCTTTGGTCCACTAGACAGCCAGCCTGCTTGATGCCCCCAATAAATCTTGTACTCATGTCAGAATGCCTGGTCTGGTTGATTGTGTGGGTTCGTACCTAACAAATACATTCAGATTCAGTTTAGTTCAAGTAAGTCAAAATTGATGATAAATAAATGACGACATTTTGAAGTTAAAGTCTGGGAAGAGCAACCATAAAAATGACAGCAGACTGTTTCCAGATTCATTCTTACTCCCTCAATCATTTTCAGACTTAGATACTGACCTTTCAACCAGAATTAATACAATAGATACCTCCACTAATACTTGCATCAGTTCTCTATTGCTGTGTGATAAATTACTACATGTTTAACAGTTTATTTCAATACCTGTCCTGGGCATGGTGGCACAGGCCTATAATCCCAGCTCTCTATCTGGAGGTAGGTATATAGCAAGTTTGAACCCAGCCTGGGCAACTCAGTGACCTAGTAAGATCCTATCTCCTCAGTGCAGCCATTATAAGCATGCACCACAGCGGAACCAGGGATTGAACTCAGGCCCTTGTGCTTGCCAGGCAAGCGCTTATTCTACTGAGCCATCTCCCTGGCCCCCAAGCCAAGGTTCTTACTTTGTAAACGTTCTCAAACTGCCCAAGGGAAGGGCATGGACATCGTGTGAGTTCTACAGCAGGACCCCAGGGTAGCCTGTTTATAATAGGAGGAGAGAGAGGCTGGCTAGACGCCACAGCTGCAGGCCCTCCCTTTGTTCTTTGTTGTTTTCTGCTGCCATGAACTCCTGCCCTCTGCCATGTGTCACTCTGCCTTGGATCCAGCAGAGTATGGACTGAAACCTCCACTAACTGTGAGCTAAATAAACCTTTCCTTTCTTAATTTTGGGTGTTGGGTATTTTGTCCCAGCAATGAGTAAAAAATAACCGAGACACCTTTATACACTGCTACCTTTCTAAGTTATTCCAATATTAGTATATGTGCAGTATATGTGAGAAGAATGTAAGGGAGGATAATAGAGAGGATATATATGATCAAACATGTGTGTTGAAGCTGAAGGGTTTCATAAAATTAACAGGCATTAATAAAAAAATGAGAATTCACTATATAGCTACACGAAAAAGTACAACAAAAAATGAAGCCAGAGTGGGTCATGGAGGAGTACCCCAGGACCTTGGGCCTCTCCCAAGCCCCTGCCTCTCTGACTCTTTCGCCCTTGCTCTCCTCTGGGCTCCCTCAGCAGCTTCCCTCTACTGCGCCCCTCTCCATGAGCCTTGCCACAGGCCTAGAAATACTGCAGCCAGCATACCATGGACTGAAACCACAGACCAAAATAAATCTTTGCTCCTCTATGCTCATTTATGTCAGCTATTTTGTCACACTGAAGGAGAGCTAACATACACAGAGTGGCCTTTATAACAGCACCATTCCTGATAGACAAAAGCCAGAAAGAATACAAATGCCCACCAACTGCTGAATGGGTAAACAAAAGATGCCATATCCATACAACGGAATATCACTCAACTACTCAGAGAAATTAAAAATTCATTTGAAATGTTTAGAGAAAGTAAATTTATAGGGAAAGAAAACAGAATAGTGGTTGCCCAGGGCTGAAGATAAGAGTCAGGAATAACTACAAATGGGAAAAAACATGATGGAAACATTCTATACTTAATTGTAGTGATGAGTGCACAATTATAAATTTACAAAAAAATTAATTATATAGTTACAATGGCTACATTTTATATTTAAATTACACCTTAGTAAAGTTTTGTTTTGTTTTGTTTTTTTTAACTATCCAACTAGGCAGATTAAAGTGCCTGCTTAGACAGACACAGGGACTGGGGTTTGATCCCCTGCATGCTGTGCCAGCCCCACCCCCAGGGCTTGCTGAAATGGAGATTGAGACTGGTGTGGTAGCACGTCCTGTAATCCCAGCCCTTGGGAGACTGAAAATAGAAGGATCACTAGGAGTCCAATGTGTGTAGTGAGACCCTGCAGACCCTATACTAAATACATTTTTTAAAAAGTCCAAATATGCCAGGCATGGTGGTTCATGCCTGTAATTCCAGAACTCAAGAGGCTGAGACAGGAGGAACCTTGTGAGTTCAAGTCCAGCCTGAATTGCATAGTGAGACCCTGTATCAAATAAGTAAATAAATAAATATCCAAATGCTTTCTCAAAGTTCATAAATAATTAGGAAAATGAAAATTAAGATCACAAAGATGAAGAAAAATCTGATAATACCTAGCCTAGAAGATATGGGGAAAGAAAACTTGTGCACACAAATGGTGTAAGTATTGATAGGTACAAATACCCTAAAAAACAACTTATCCTGATCCTGCAAAGTTACACGTGTGCACATGCTAGTCACCAAATCACTCTAAGGTAGATACAGGAGCCACATGGTAAATATTTTAGGTTCTGAACACCACATAGCCTACCCCATCTAACTCAGCTCCGCTCTATATCACAAAACAGCCACAGATAATATGTAAACAAATAAGCACAGCCATGTTACAATAAAATTTTATTTTAAAAAAACAGACAGCAAGCCAAATTTAACTAGTGGGTAGTACTTTGCCAACCCCTTCCTTAAAGAAACACTTGCATGTGTGATCCAAGAGATAAATACAAAAGTTGTCACAGGACTTGCTTGTGTTAGCAGTAAAAGAAACAACTCAATCACTCAGAGGACAAGGAATAAAAAATTGTGGCATATGTTCAAGATGGAATTGGGACAGAGCTATTAAAGTGAATTATATTCTTGCTACCTTCAACACATGGAAAAATCTTAAAAATAACAATTGGGGCCAGAGAGATGGCTCAGTAGAATAAGCGCTTCCCTGGCAAATGCAAGGGCCTGAGTTCAATCCCCGGTTATGAAAAATAAATAAATAAATAAAATAAAGTTCAGCAATAAGCATTGCAGAATAAAATGTTGTCAGATCTGCTGCAGAAGTATATGGAAGGTAAAGGAAAGAGAATGGTAAAAATTGAGAATGGAGTTCATCTCTCAAAAGACAGCCAATGACCAGATTAGGGATTAAAACCACTAGATTTAATAGCTTCAGTATTGTTGCTTCTTTTATTGGTACATGGGCACATAAAAGTTCATAATTCATATATGTAAGATTTATTTGATTTTGTATACATAATTTATACATAAAAACTATTTTTTTTTTTTTTTACGTAGGGTCTCGCTGGCCTTAATCTTGCTATGTACCCCAAGATGGCCTCAAACTCATGACACTCCTACCTCAGCCTTCCATATGCTATAAATACAGCTATGTACCACTACAGCCAGAAAAACTTTTAACAGGGTAACTGAGATACTCCCTACATTCAGCTAAAAAATTCCTAAAAGGCTGAAGAGATTGCCCGTGATACAACAGAAAGTAGAAAACGAGATAGCTCAGTGGACTGAAGTGCCTACTTAGGTAAGCTTAGGCAAGCGCAGGAACCACAGTTTGATACCTGGTAGCAAATGTCACACCAGCCCTGTCCCTAAGGTGGGCTGAGGGGGCCACAGCATCCAGGCATGGTGGTGCATGCCTGTAATTCCAGTGCTGGGGAAGCTGAAAACAGGAGGATCACTGAGCCCAAGCTGCATAGTGAAGCCCTATACCAAATACATTAAAAAATAAAATAAAACAAAATAAAATGCAAATAGAAAACATGTAACTAGAAAGTAGTCAAGGTATTGATATTCCACACCAAGAAAATAGATGACAATAAAACACCAAAAAGATCCATAACTTCCACTTGAATTCAGAAAGAATTGATAAAAGTTAAGTGAAAAAGCACTGAAGTTCTAAGATTTAAAAATAAAAGCATGCATTGGCCTTATTCCTTAAGTTCAATTTTTTTCTACTTAAATAAGTTTATAACTGTGGATTACTAGTGTCACAAACTGAGCAGATTAAAGCAATCCCTCATCAGGGACAGTACTGTATTATGACTCTGGCACCATCTGGTGATAAATCAATGCAATAGCAGGGTTTTTTAACTAAGGCATCTATTAGGCATAGTTCACATGTCTTTAAATTACTTTTGAAAGACAGAAAATAAAATTAAGATATCTAAAACATAATGTCTATGAGATATTCAATGAAAAAAATCTATAGGTAAAGTATGACTATCAGAACAGAAGAAGAGTCTGCTCTTACTTAGAAGTTTGCTGAACTATGCTTCTAGAACTTTCAGACCAGAAATTTTTGGGGGTATATAGGCAAACACAGTCTACCAAGTAATTACATCCATTAACACACAAATACACCTTCCAAGGAAAAGAATTGTCATAATTTTAAAATGTCTTCCACTTAATAATACTCAACATTTCCTGAACTGATTCAAAGGGACAGGTACACAGGACTCTTTAAACATTCTCATCACAGAGCTATACTAGGTACTAAGTACAAAACCATCCCTTTGAAGTACTTATAATTTAATTCAGATTAATGTTCATGAAATAGATTATTTTTTAACAAAACTTGGCCCTGATGATCAAAAGATGATATGGAAAGCTTTCCCTTTACCTCTGTGAGGGACCCACAAGCGACACCACCATGCAGGGCTTCATCCAAAGCAGAGAGAGTTGTGGTTAAGAAACCTGGTGAGAGATCAGCAGACCTCTGTGTCTTTATCCCATAAGCCTGAAAAAGAAAATGGTTAAATTCTTTACAACCTCTATATCTATTAAAAAACATGTCAGGGGAAAACTACCCGCTCGGGCCCCTCCTCCTGTCCATCTCTTGGGACAGGAGCTTTCTTTCTCTCAATAAATATATTCTGCTCACAAAAAAAAAAAAAAAAAAAACATGTCAACTCCTAACCTCTGAATTTTAGCAGCTGTGACCCCAATCCATCCTTTCGCCTCTTATTCGTTCAATAAAGACTTACTCCCTACAACTCTTGTTGCACAGGTCCTGCTTTACCTTGGTCTTAACCATCCAGTAGAAAAGTATGAAGACGAAATATAGGAAGTAAAGCCATGTTGTTACGTTGAGCTGTGGGGGACTCAGGTCAATAATTTCTGACATTGCCAGTTAAACAGAAGACCCAATGCTATTATGGGCTACTGGACTCTTTTAGAATATT